AATTTAAAATTCGTTTTGTTTTTTGGGTTTTCGAGGGTTATTTTAATTTCTATATATAAAATATTTTTTTTCGTAATCATTTTTTGTGGTTTTCCTGGGACGGTGAAGGATTTGGTTGTTGGAGGGATGAAGAAGGGTGATTAAACCAAAACCTAAACCGATCCCTTGGTATCAAAAATATTCTATTTGGTCTTCAACGTTTTAAAATCTGGGGGTTGGTGGCCCATATTGAGGAGCTGGCCCTAAAGATCCGCTTGTCGACGTGATGCTTGAACCTCCAGAGATGGAGCCACCAGAAATCGATCCTCCAGAGATGGAGCCACCAGAGATGGAGCCACCAGCAATACCTCCACCGTTCACCAAAGTTGGCCCTGTTGGCCCAACCAAACCATTATCCACAATCTGTTGCTGGTTTTGCCTATCCTTCTGGTCTTGTATTTGAAAAGTAAACCTCTGGTTTTGCTGGGGTGTAGTTGGTGCATTGTTCAGGTAGATGTCGGAGGCGTCTTCGGGTTTCTTAACCAAAGACATAAACCAAAGTCTTTTCTTTTCTTCATTCGTTCTGTGGATGAAGTGGCAGACTTGCTGAACCGTACTGTGGAGGTGCTGGAGCCTTAATAAAGATAATCTTGTAGTGCTTTTGTGGGGGGGCGAACTGCCCATGGATGTGGGGTGCACGGACATCCTCTGGGTCTGGTGGTGGGACGTGGACGTAGATGTGCTTCTGGATCAGAGGTCCTGGGGGGTAAAAGACACAATTTATAATATCACCCTCACCTCATCTGTATTAAGTAAGTTTTTTTTTATTACCAGGAGTGCTCACGAATCCCCCCTGTTGGAATCCGCCGCCGACGACTCCGTTCTGGAAGCCTGTTGTGGATTGGAAGCTGCCACCGTTTTGAAAGCCCTGTTGGAAGCCTGTTTGTTGTTGGAATGATCCACCGTTTTGGAAGCCTTGTTGGAATCCGCCATTGAGTCCGCCGTTGAGTCCGCCGTTTAGTCCGCCGTTGTGGTGGTGGTGGAAAGATCCTGAACCGATTGATCCTGGAAAAAAGTTAGATTGTGGATGAGATTTTTGGTGGACAAGTGAGATTTTGATACAAAAATCAGGGTTGATTTGAGGAAATTCTGGTAAAGTGCAGATGGTAAAAGTAGACAAAAGGTGAATAAAGGCAATTTAAGGATTCAAGATTATTTTGGAGGGATTTTTTGGACAAGTTGGTGTAAAGATTCTGAATCTGAAGGTAGAAGTGGGATTTAGGTTGATTTGTGGTAAATAATTGATCTGAAAAGTAGGAAAAACGTGAAAAAAGGGTTGTTAAGAAAATATGGATTAGGGACTATATTTGATCCACAGATACTTGATTTGAGCAACCTGGGATTTTGTTGATTATAAGCTGTCATAATGAATTTTCTTTACAATTTTAATAACTGAGATCATCCTTTTGGATCAACAAAATATGGATCTATCAGAACCACAAATTATCAATTCCATTAAGAAGTGATTTTTTTGGTGCACTATGACTAAAATGATAAGTTACTGGTCAAAATTAGGATATTTAATTTAGATAAACAGGATTTTTTTGAATTCTAAATGATTTTGGAGCTATAATTGTGAACTTTGGATCAGAAAAGTCTAGATTGTTACCAAAGTATTTTATTTGGTCAAAAAATCAGAGTTTTGGATAAACAAATTAAGGATAAGAATAACTGTTTGATACAAAATTCTGTGACATGAGTAACAAAGGATTTTTTTTTAGACCAGGACTGCTAAAATGAGATTTTTGCTGATTTTGGAAGTCTAACTTTGGCAACTCGCAGAATAAAATATTATTCGTTTAGGTTAAACCTTAAATTATTCTTCATTTACCAGAAACTCTAAAAAATCTACCATTTTTATATCACACTAAAATTGTGATGGTAAATCTTGAAATCAGCTTTTCCAAGATTTATGCCAAAATGTCAGATGATATAAAATTTAGTTACATTTTTAAGTTCTTAGACAAAAGACACTTTTGTTAATGTATAAGTCCTAACTTGATCAGGATAAAGCAAGTTTTGGATGCAAATGTGATGTTGTATTTTATATCAAAATGGTCAAATAAACTGAATCCAAAATTAGTACAAAAAACTCGGTAGGTTTTCGAATTTTAGAAGTTCTATTTATGAACCACTTCTAACTAACAGTCCTTATTTTTTGGATTTGCAGTAGCACTAAAATTAGGATCTACTGAAATTTCTGGGCCACACATTGAATGAATTATTGAAATGACAATTAGTTCTGTATCAATAACATCTGTATCTAACCACAAATTTGACCAAGAAACTCTTAGTATAGTCAAGAATTTTGCCAAACAGTACACTTGTAATAGATTGAGAAGTTTAATTGATTTTGTCAAGTGATTAGCTGGTCAAGAGATACTTTTAGAAATGAAAGCCTCAAAATTGATCTTTGGCAATGCTTAGATATTAGAAATATTTTGCACTAATTTTTGAAGCACAATTAGAAGCAATCAAGAAATATTCTCACAACATTGACTCAAACTTGTTTGCAAAATCGTCCAAAATTTATGGTCAAAAATTGAAACTACCACCAAAATCACTTGGCAGAAATAACAGTTAAAGTACACAAATTTGACTGATAATTTCATCACTAATATTGGATACAATTTGGTTCCACAAATTTGACCAAGAAATAATTTTTTCTAAGTTTGGCCACTTTTTTCTACAAATTTTACCAAAAAACTGTTTCACCCAAAATTAGATTTAGATTAATTATTTCCATTATTTTTATTATTTTTTCTCCAACTGACCTCCTCCAATAGGGCCAACACTAGGGCCAACAAATCCGGATGTAGATCCGACGAATCCAGAAGAACTTCCGGAGCTGGTGAAGCTTCCTCCTCCGTTCTGGAAACTACCACCGAGACCTAGTCCTGGCCTGGGGTAGTTGTAAGGGGCTTCGGGCCTGGCACAGGCCAGGGCCGCCATAGTAGACAGAAGCTGAGGAAAAAATAAAAAAATAAAAATTAGTTTTTTTTCATTAATTAATAAACAGCAATCGAAATTACAAAAAATTTTATAAGCTATTCTGCTATGAAAAAAATAGTGAAGAAGTAAAGACGTGGTTGGTTAAATTTTAATGGTTTGTGCACTCGCTATTAGAGGCGCTGGTGAATGTAGCACGTAAATTTACCCTAAGAGGTTTATAGAAAAGGATGAACATGATTAATTTTAGAACAAAGTACAAACTGGTATAAAATGTATTTTAAGGAAAATTACAAATATATTTTCACAAAAATAAATAATTAAAAAAATAAAATGTTTAAAATACGTGCTATATTAGGAAAAGAATTTTTTTAAAAAGTGTGATTAATTCGTGTACACTGACGCCATCTATTAATTGTGAAAAATACTAAAACTCACTCGATCCCATTAATTTTAATAAAATTTAGAAATATATTTAATTCTGATTAAAATATCTAGAATTTTTAAAACTTAAACTTGGATTTTTATATCTTTAAAAATCTTGTCACCAAATTTTACAAAGAATCTCGAATTTTGCAAGTTCTATGTAATTTCTAGTGAAAAAATATATAATTAATTATATATTTTAAATAATTATGAATATTTTTAGCAAACATTGGACACGTCAGTTTTTATAAATAATAATACATAATTATCTATAATAAATATTTTGTATAAATTTTATTCGATAATTCTTTTAGTTTGGAAAAATAAATGTTTAAAATAAATATTTTTTGGGGTTAGATTTCCGGATTTTGCTTTTGAACAAAAATATATTCTTTCACATTGTATTTGACATTTGTTTAAAGTTTAAAATAGTTTATAAGTTAGAGATTAGAATATTTTATAAACATATCTTTTTACTTTATTGCACAAAATTACAATTAACAAATAAAATTATGAGTGAATTTTGGAATTAGATTTTTTAGTATAATATTTGATAATAATTCAGAGTAAAATCAATTAGAGCATTATATCATCGCACTTCTGTTTTTCACTAATAATTTTTAAAATTATTACATTTTTTGTACTTTATTAATTTTACTTGCAAAAAATTCTCTGATTTTTATAAAAAAAAATAACGTAAAAACAATTTTAATTTTTATATTAAAAAAAAACGTTCTTATAAACGTCTTGCTTAGATAGATATAAAATATATTTTTCGAATTATGTTCGAGTAAATTTGTTTAATAATTTATTTTGTTTTTTTTTTTCTAGAAATCAGTATTGATGATACTTGTTTAAATATTTTACTTATGCAATGCCCAAATGAAATTTAGCAATTTATAAATTTTTTTATGATTTAAATGTATTTTTTCGGAGTTAAATTTCGCATCTCTTATATTTAATTATGATTTTGCATTGCAAGAATTGATTTTACGTTATTGTTTTTGACAAAATTTAGAGAATTTATTGCAAGTAAATTTAATGAAGTACAAATAAAAATCAGTAATTTTAAAAATGATTAGTAAAAACAGAACTGCAGAGATATTTGTGGGTGAATAAAATGTATTACTTAAAATCTTAAGATGAAAATTTTTAACACAAAAGTAACTTATATTTATCGACTTTTAATATGAAAAAATGTTTTTATTAAGAAACAGTAATTTTTATTACTTATTTTGCATTTTATTCAACAGATACAAATTTGTAAATTTGAGTAAAAATCCTAATACAATTTTATTCACAAAAATCTCCTTAATAAAAAAAACCCGAAGTGTAATTTTCAAAAAAAAAAACAAAATTAGTGTTGAACTACTTGTTAGTAACTATTACTAATAAATTCTGTATTTGTTATTATATTTAATGCTAAAAAAAATTAAAATACGAACGGCATTTTCGTTCGAAAAATTTAAACGAATTAAACAGTAAATTGTCAAAACTGCATTAATAATTTATCGTGAAAAATCACGAATAAAAATTCAAGTAAAAATGACTTTTTAAATAGAGTATTAGTAATAAATTTGTAAATATATATTAATATTAACTTTAGTAAGTAGTAACAAACAAATGCAAAAAAATAAAAGTTAATAAAAAATTGTAAACACGTTTTTAAACACAAATACATATATATTGGAAATTTAATAAATATCTATCACTTATTTTGTATTTTATTTAACAAACAATATTTTGTAAACTTGAGTGTAAATTCTAATACATTTTTTTTCACAAAAAATCCATTTAATAAAAAAAACCCGAAGTAAAATTAAAAAAAAAGAAAAATGACTTTTTGAATAGAGTATTAGTAACAAATTAGTAAAAATATAATAATTATTAACTTAGGCAAGTAGTAACAAAGAAATGCAAAAAATATAAGTTTAAAAACAAAATTGTAAACACATTTTTGAACAGAAAACTATATTTATCTACTGGATATTTAATAAATTTATTTATTGGATATTTATTAAATTTATTTATTGGATATTTAATAAATTTATTTATTGGATATTTAATAAATTTATTTATTGGATATTTAATAAATTTATTTATTGGATATTTAATAAATGTTGATCACTTATTTTGCATTTTATTTAACAAACAAAATTTTGTAAATATGAGTGAAAATCCAAATACAATTTTGTTCACAAAAAATCCACTTGATATAAAAACCCGAAGTAAAATTAAAAAAAAGAAAAGTTGTCTAGTCAATCTTGAGCAAACTTTTGGTCTATTTAGGAAACTTGAGTGAAAATCTTAATACAATTTTGTTTACAAAAAAATACTTAATAAAAAACCCGAAGTGTGATATTAAAAAAAAAAAAATGTTTTCCGATTCACTTTGAGCAAATTTTTGGTCGTAGTTAAAAAAATATTTATATCGAATTTTAGGGTATAGGTACAAAAAAAAAATTTAACTGTATCTTTTCTACTCACAACAAATCCTCTCATCGTGTCACCACCGCCTTCGGAAAAATCCACACAAAAATTTCGAAATAAACACAAAACTACTACCAACTTTTTCTTTAAATCTTGATTTATCTTTAAAATCACTTTCGATTATTATTCGATGTTACTGTTGAACTCTTCACGAGTCAACTGATGTCTTCGAAGATCTTCTCAAGCTTTTTATACTCTTCATCGGATGCTGGCAATGTTTACTCTTCGAATTTGTTACAGAAGAAGAAGATACCATCATAATAATAGTCATTTTAGTGGTATTAGTAGTGGTATTGGTAATGGTTGGTAGTACGAGTGTTTGTTTTGTTTGTGATTATTCTGTTTATTATGTAAAATCGATAGACGGATAAATATATTGGCGGATGGATAGATTATTTCCTAATTTTTTGGTCAGGTGATTTTTTTGAATTGCGACACTGTGCGAAAATTGTGTTGGTTAGAGAGATTTATTTGTTTGTTTTATTTTAATAAATGATAAATGCAATTATGATGATATTGATAAAAAATTAGGATAATTTTGATAAATTTATTATTGATTATTTTTCTAATTTTTTTGGTCAGTTGATTTTTTTTCGGTTGCGCCATTTTGTGTGCAAAATTTGTACTCTCCTGGTTAGAGAAATTTCTTCGTTTTATTTTATTTAATGATATATGTAATTATTAAAGTCAAAGTATTGATAATTTCGATAAATTTATTATTGATTTTTTTTCTGATTTTTATGTAAAGTGATTTTTTTTCGGTTGCGACAGAGTTTTGTGCGAAAATTGTGCTTATATTTAGATACATTTATTTGTTTTATTTCAGTTAATTGAAAAGCTAACGCCTACTCGATGAATTAATGTAATTGAAATTACTTACATAAATATATTAATTTATTTTTTATTTTTCTTATTTTTTCTCTTAATTTTTTTTCACATAAAAGGCTTCATATAAAGGTTTATTTATGAGTAATCTTTTAGAATAAATGTTAATTATCAATATATCCCCAAAATTACTGATTGTCTTTTTATCTGTTATTAAAACAGATTGTAATTAATAAAAGAAATAAAAAAAAACAAGAAAAAATAAGCTGAGGATAAATGCGATTATGAAAAGTCAAAAAATTGAAAAATTCGATAAATTTATTCTTATTTTCTATTTTTTTGGGTTGCGTCACTTCTTTCAAAAATTGTGTATTTTAATTAAAAAATGGTTTGTTTTACTTTAGTTAATGACGAATGCAATTTTTTGATAATGTCGAAAAATGGATAATTTGGAAAAACTACATTTTTATTTTGTTTGCTTGCTTTTTGCTGAAGATACATATTAAATTTTTATCCTGTCTTTTTTACGAATATTTAATTATGTATTTTTAAACTTATTGACTAAAGATAAAATATAAATTAATATAAACATGTATACTGGTAGAATTATGTTCAAAAAAATTTGTACTTTCTTAGTTGAATATAAAAATATGCTGTTACAATTATATGTAAAAAAAACTCTTCTTTGAAGAATCTCATATAAATTTATAATGACATTTTAATTACTTTATTATGTTTCTACTAATTAATTTTCACTAAATATTTAAGGTAAACTTCATTTTATTTATTTCTTATCCTTCATAATTTATATCAATTATTATTATGAATTAAGAAAAAATAAATTTACTCTAATTATTTTTGCTTATATAAATTTTCAATTAATTAAAGTAAAACTGTAGTTAATTTTCATACAATTTTAAACTTATAATAAAATAACAATTTAACTATTTTTGTATAAAATTTTATTACTCTGATAACTAGTTTCATACACTTCAATTTGTTCCAATTCATTGATTATTTCTTTATATTAATTTCATCAATTTTATTACTTATAAAATCTATTAATTTTTAATAATAAACTAGTGGTGTATGGCATCGTGCTTTAAGGCATATTGCTGGAACTTCCCGTACCGTAACGAAATATTCGACGAATACTGAATGTTTTCCAATAGATTATTATAAAAAAATACTGTAACATTGTCTAATATTTATTAAGAATTATACAAACTAAATTGTAAAGTAAGTTATTAATTTAAAGTATG